AAACCCACCAGCCACTCCTCAGAAGGAAGATGGGGCAATCTACTTCCATAGTGATACTGCCTTGGAAACCCAAGGAGGGGTGACTATGAGTCGGGTCCAACTTGACGGTACATAACAACAACAACAACAAGTAAATAATTTGAATTTTATAAAAAGAGTTTAACAAGGTTTCTAGATACAAATATCAATACATAGTAGTGTGCAGCCAGCTTGACAATGCAAGACAAGAAACTGCCAAGTGATCTTAATATTCAACTATCAACAATCAACAATTCTGATTGTTCTGTGGCCTTTTAAAAGGATCATCAGAACATTAAAAACTCTTATTAGTCAGTTATAAATGTATAGGCAGATAGAAAAATAGTAAAACCAATACCTACTTAGTATATGATAATTTAAAACATTGGAAACACTGAGAATTAAAGTGTTTTATTTCTCTGTAAAACTTTATTGTTGTTGTTGTTGTTATGTGCCGCTGAGTCAGACGACTCATAGCGACCTTATGTACAACAGAACATTGCCCAGTCCTGCGCCAGCCTCCTAATCCTTGCTGTACCTGAGTCCATCGTTGCAGCCACTGTGTCAAAGGTTTCCCCTTTCTCATTGACCCTCCACTTTACCAAGCATGATAATATCCTTCTCCAGGGAATGATTCCTTCTGACAAGATGACCAAAGTAGGTGAGATGAAGTTTGGCCATTCTTGCTTCCAAGAAGCATTCCAGCTGTACTTCTTCTAGGATAGATATGTTAGTTCTTTTAGCAGTCCATGGTATTCTCAGCATTCTTCACCAACACCACAACTCAAAAGCATCAACTCTTCTTTGGTCTTCCTTATTCATTTTCAGCTCTCACATGCATAAGAGGTGATTGAAAATACCATGATTTGGGTTAGGTGCACCTTAGTCTTCAAGGAGAGTCTTTGTTCTTCAGCACTTTAAAGAGGTCTTTTCCAGCAGATTTGCACAATGCAATATGTCATCTGATATCTTGTTGCTGCTGCTTCCATTGGTGTTGACTGAAGAACCAAGTAATATTAAGTCCTTGATAACTTCAATCTTTTCTCCATTTATCATGAAGCTATTTATTGGACCCGTTGTGAGGATTTTTGTTTTCTTTATGTTGAGGTGTAATCCATACTGCAGACTGTATTCTTTAATCTTCATCTTCATCAGTAAGTGCTTCAAGTCAACCTCACTTTCAGCAAGCAAAGTTGTGTCGTCTGCATACCGCAGGTCGTTAATGAGTCTTCCTCCAATCCTGATGCCATGTGCTTCTTCACATAATCCAGTTTCTTGGATTATTTTCTCAGCATTCAAATTGAGTAAGTATGGTGAAAGGATACAACCCTGACATACTCCCTTCTTGATTTTAAACTATGCAGTACCCCCTTGTTCTGTTAGAATGACAGCCTCCTGGTCTATGTACAGGTTCCTCATGAGTACAATCAAGTGTTCTGGAATTCCCATTCTTCTCAATGTTACCCATAATTTGTTATGACCCACCCAATAGAAAGCTTTTGGATAGTCAATAAAAATAAGTAAACATCTTTCTGGTATTCTTTGCTTTCAGCCAAGATCCATCTGACATCAACAATGATATCCCTCATTCTACATCCTCTTCTGAATCCAGCTTGTATTTCTGGAAGTTCTCTGTTAATATATTGTTCCAATCATTTCTGAATTATCTTCAGTTAAATTTTACTTGCATGTAATATACTGTTCAATAATTTCCACATTCTGTGGGATCACCTTTCTTTGGAATGGGTACATATACAAATCTCTTCCAGTCAGCTGGCCAGGCAGCTGTCCTCCAAATCTCTTGGCATAGCTGAGTGAGTGCCTCCAGCACAGCATCCGTTTGCTGAAACATCTCACTGTGTATTCTGTCAATTCCTGGAGCTGTGTTTTTCACCAATTTCTTCAGTGTGGCCTCAACTTCTCCCTTCAATACCACTGGTTCTTGATCATATGCCATCTCCTGAAATGGATGAACACTGACCTATCCTTTTTAGTACAGTGATTCTGTGTATTCCATCCATCTTCTTTTGATGTTTCCTGCATCATTCAATATTTTACCCATAGAATCTTTCAATATTGCAACTGGAAGCTTAAATTTTTTCTTCGGCTCTTTCAGCTTAAGAAATGCCAAGTGTGTTCTTCCCTTTTGGTTTTCCAACTCCAGTTCTTTGCACATTTCATTATAATAACTGGCTTTGTCTTCTTGAGTTGCTCTTTGAAATCTTCTGTTCAGCTCTTTCATCTTGTCATTCCTTCTATTTGCATTAGCTAAATAAAACTTTATGAAGAGTATTTTTAACAGTGTCTGCTTGCTGTGAAAAGTAAGTATCTTTTCTATGCTTTGGCAAGTTGTCATACTCCTTTTTAAGTCTGAATTAGCTTCCAATATTTAATCCTTTGTACTTTCAATGGCACGTAATATCTGAAAGAGTTCCTTTAATGTGAAGATTTTTGCTAGTGCCCCTGGGACGTACACCTTCATCCTTTGAGTCAAAACAACTTTGCTCATTTAGGTCAATAAATTCACCTCTGGTGGCACAGTGCTTAAGGTATTCGGCTGCTAACCAAAACATCAGCAGTTCAAATCTGTCCATCACTCAGCTGGAGAAAGATGAGGCAGTCTGCTTCTATAAAGATTTACAGCCTTAGAAACTCTATGGGACAGTTCTACTCTATCCTATAGCATTGCTATGAGTCAAAATTGACTTGATGGCCATGGGCTGGGTTTGGTTTAAGTTGCTCTGGCTGTACAGAGTCTCTCGAATGGCAGCCACGTCATCATTCTTATGATCAGCTATTTTGGCTAGAATTCTACTTATGTTAGATTCAAATTTCACTTCCACTGCCATAGCTTTTTGTTCCTCTGCTGTACCTCCACCTTTGCTAGCCAATTCTTTCTTTCAATTATGTATTTTTTTAAAATGTCATATGGAATTATCACTGATAAGAAAGAAAGCAACAAAATTATATGTGTTGCTGTCTATATTATGACCTGAATAACAGATGCTCAATGACCAATCAATGACAGGACTCTAATCACGATGGTTGTTGTTGTTGTTGTTGTTGTTGTTGTTGTTGTTATTTGCCATCGAGTCGGCCCCGACTCATAGCGACCCCTCCTTGGGTTTCTGAGGCAGTATCACTACGAAGTAGGAATGCCCAACCTTCCTTCTGAGGAGTGGCTGGTGGGTTGGAACCTCCAGCCTTCTGGTTAGCAGTCAAGTGCCTTAGGCACTATGCTACAAACTACTAATCATGATGAGCATTTATTATTTACATAGTGATCTGTGGGCTGAGGTGCCAGCAGTAAAGTTTATACTTCATACAATTACTCAGAGCTACTAAATCATGGTAACTGAAATTTGAACTTGATTCTTGGGCTGATGTCATTTAACTAGACTGTGGTAACTGACATCTGCGCATCTCGGAACCAGGCAATGTGAAGACTGCCTGTATATAAAAATAGTTATATACATATATGTACCAGCAACAAAGAAGTACAAGATAAAATTCCA